GCCCTCCTGCCCTCCCCGCTCCCTAGCAGGCAATCTCACACTTTTCCCTTTTAAAACACATGGTGTTCCTTTTTAATAACGGCGGTGGCTCCAGATTGGGAAAGGGGGAAGAAAAAAAAAAACTTTTAAAGGCCCCAGCTCTGCAGGAAAGGCGGGGAGGCAGGGAGTGAAGGGGAGGCAAGCCCTCAAAAGCCCAGCCCTGGGATCTGCTGTGGGGAACCCTTGAAGAGGCCCCCCAAACCTGGCCCTGGGCCCCCAGCCTCAGTGGGCTCTTCCCAGCTGCTATGCCTGGCCTGGACTGTGGTGCATCGAGGTCCGGAGCCCCAACCCATTGTTTGGGGAGGTCTGGAGGGAGTGGGGAGGCAGCTTCTGCCTGGGGACACCAGAGATGGGAGAGACTGTAATCCCCTGCCCCCCAGCCATCGGAGAGCTCCCCTAGCTTGCCTCCCCACTAGGTATGGAGAATTCCTCCTCCCTATTTTGTGGAGGACAATCCGCAACAGAGAGGGGCGGCCGCATGCCCAGGTGGTCCAGCCAGTTGGCACCCATGGCCCCGGAGGCCTCAATCTGACCTCTCCTGCTGGGCTGGGGGGAGCAGTGGCCTGCCCAGGCCCGCCTGGCCTTGCCCTCTCGCCCTGGCCCCCCGAGGGCAGCTGCAGCTGCTGGCAGGCGGGCCTGGGCAGCCCAGACCAAGCAGGCGTGGTGTGGAGGGGCAGTACCCCCAGCCAGGACCCCTCTCCTCCAGAGAGAGCCCCCTCCCCAATAGGCCACAGTAGTGGGCAGAAAGGGGAGGGACCAAGGGGCGTGACCCTCCACTGAGGACTGAGAGAGGGGGCCTGGGGTCCAGGCAGGCCTGGCCTGGATCCCACCCTGGTGGGGGGGCCCAGGCAGGAAGCGGTGGGTGGGCCGGGCAGAGAAGTTGGCACGCCCGAGTTCATGCCAAAGGAATTCCGAATTAGCGGGCGGCTGGCTGCCTGGGACCTCCAGGGCGGCCCCCTGGCCCCCGCCCCCGGCCGCCCCCGCCTCCCTGGTGCTGGCCGACGCTGCCGGCTCCTTTGCACGGATGCGGAGACCTCCGGCGAGCCTTGGGCCAAGCCCCAAACGCAACTTCGATCCCAGGCTCCAGCAAGACACAGCCCGTGAGCCAAGTTTGCCCCGGAAAAGCGTCAGGGCCCGTCCCAGGGACCCTGTCCACCCCACCTCATCCTTTTGGGGCTGGCACTGGGCGCCTGCAGGCAGTCGGGGGCTCTGGGATGGCCAGGCTTGCTGGCTGGCTCTGGGCTGCTGACTGTAGTCCTGGCCCCTTTGCAGCCCCTTCGTAGCATTGGCTGCCTGGAGAGCCTTTTAGAATGTAAATCCGGCCTCCTCCTTCCCGGGCTCAGAGCCCTCCACTAACTCTTCAGTGCCCTCCAAATAAAACCAGAGGCCTGGAGGGGCCCTGAGCTGGCTGATCTCCCTGACCCAATCGCTTTGCCTGCTTGCCCCAGGCCCTTTGCACTTGCTGTGGTACTTGTCCTTCCTCTCTGCAGATGCCCTCTGGCCTCCTCGGTCTCTATCCAGGCCTCCCTCCGCCCTGCTTTGCCTCACCCTAGCCCTTACTCTGTGAGAGTCATAGTGTTCTTTTTTCTTCCTGTCCCTCTTCCTGGATTCAAGCCCCCTGCAAGGGTGGCATTTTGTATGTCTTGGTTGTTACTGTGCCCCAGCCCCTGGCCCACTGTAGACCACCATGAACGACCCTTACACCTGATCCGGGTGGAGGAAGGGGCCCCTTCCCAGAGGCTCCAAGAAATGAAGTCATTAGGCCGAACTTTGATGCAAAGCAGGGGCACTCAAAGGCAGGTTCTCCTTGCTTTAAGGACGAGGACAGTGTTTTCACTCTCCTATAAAGAACCCTTTGTGATGGATACCATGACACCCACTTCCCAGACAGGGAGACTGAGGCTCAGCCAGGCATTTGGCACGTTTGCAGTCCTGGCAGGCATCTGGCCTTGAATGAGACCCACTAGGAAACGGGAGGGGTCTGTGCCTAGGCTATGCATCCTTCTCCTCTTCTCTGGGCCTCAGTTTACCCGGCTGCACAATGGCTTCCCACTGGAGAAAAAGATGAAGCCCTGGGCTGAGCTGATAGCGAGAGCAGAGGCCCCAGTCGTGGGGGGACCCCCAACCACCCCACAGCCAGCACTCATCCCAGGCACAACCAAGAAGTCCCTTCTCATCTGACCTGCCCAGTGGCCCTTGGGGACATAGATCATTTAGTGAATTAGGACAACCAAGTCAGGGCAAAAGGACAACATGCAGCCCCTTCTTTAGGTGGAGCCTGGGAGGACAAAGCTCATTGAACTCCTCACCCCAAGCCACCTTCAGTCCCAGCAGCAGTGCAGGGTAGAAACAGTTCAGTCCCATGGTGCACCCTCCCTTCCATGTGGTTCTGTCATCCATACAAGGGGCAAGATTGGATAGGGAAACAATGTGGGTCGGTTAGCACAACACTCAGAGGACAGGAAGTGCTCCCAAAGCAAGGCGCTGAATGACTCATCAGGACTCCCAGGGAGGTGGCAATTGTACATGTCCTTGACTGCTGGCCAAATGGTTGGTGGTTCGACTCCACCCAGAGCTCCTTGTAAGAAAAGATTGGCAATCCACTTCTGATCCATCAGCTGCTGCAAACCCTGGGTGCACCCTTCTATTCCGATACACAAGCGGTCACCTTGAGTCGGTGTCAACATTAAGGCAGCGCCATCTCATGGGATCAGCGTGCTCACCTTTGTCCTCACGGAGGGGCCCCGGGGGTAATGCAGATGGGCAAGCCCTGGGCTCTAATCAAAAGGTTGGAAGTTCCCAGCCAGTTGCCTCATGGAAGAAAGACCTGGGAATCTGGTTTCATGGGGGGGGGGGGTCCCCTGATAAAAGCACCTGCTATATGGGAGCCCCCAGGGTTATCACAGAGGGAACCCATCATGTTGCTTCTACTTGCCGAAAGATAACAAGGCAAGTGTCCTGCCTGTCCGAACAGTGACTGTCAGAACAGTGTCCAAGTGTCTGGATGTGTGTAGGTCAGTGCCCAACTCGGAAAGGACCAGACATGGGTCAGTCAGACAGACATGGACTTGAATTACAACCTCACTCCTTCAACCTTGGGCTGCTCCATTGACCTAACTGAGCCATCGTTTCCCCATCTGTAAGGGCCCAGCATGGTGGCAGATCGCCAGACCTGACCACCGCTCCTCTCTGACCCCAGACACAGCCGTCATCAGCCCCCAGGACCCCACGCTCCTCATCGGCTCCTCCCTGCAGGCCACCTGCTCTGTGCTGGGGGACCCCCCACGGGCCACGGCTGACAGCCTCTACTGGACCCTGAATGGGCGCCGTCTGCCTGCCGACCTGTCCCGAGTTCTCAACGCCTCCACCCTGGCACTGGTCCTGGCCAACCTCAATGGGTCCAGGCAGCAGTCAGGAGACAACCTGGTGTGCCACGCCCATGATGGCAGCATCCTAGCTGGCTCCTGCCTCTATGTCGGCCGTAAGTGGGCCCTGTAGACCCCTGGGCACTCTGGGAGGAGTGGCGGCTCCCTCTGGAGAGGGCGTGAGTCAGGGGCCTCCTCTAGCCTGGGGGGGCGAATGGTGGGTGGACACTCACACTCTGGTTGGGGTTGAGGGTGGATGAGTTGGCAGGGCTGAACTGAAAGGCAGGCGTGCGCTGGTGGAAGCTGGATGGCACTGTAAGTGCTCTGGCCCAAGAATGCCAGCAGGTAACTATGCCAACATCCGCTGGCACCTATGAGGATGGGACCAAGACTGG